TGGGGTTGATGAGGAAACTAACTGAGAGTGGGGGCTGGATGGGTGTGGGTGTGGGTGAGGGGAGGCTGCGGTGAGTAAGGTGTAAGTGTGGGGCTGGGGTAGGTTTTGGGGGTGTTAGGGTAATGTCATGCTCTGTCGGTACACATACGTAACTGTCATCATCGACCATGTGTCTGCGTGCATGAGACATGAGGGTTTGTTTGTGTGGGTGCACGAACGAGTATCGTGTTTGCGTGGTGTGATGCTAACTTAGGATAGAGGTGGAGGAGTGGTATTTGATTATTGTAACAATTGTTATCGTCAGATAGGTCTGTCATTACAAATTATTGTTATTAAGCTTATAATCCATAACATTATTTTCAAAGCCAGAACTATTTCATTATGGAAATTTTATTTAATGACGCAACGATAATTTAAAATGTTTTTGATATGTTGTATCATTTAAGATAATTTTTTATGCTGCTGCCATGGACGCGTTTTCTGTAAAATGTGTGTTTTGTGTGATGTGCGGCAGTGGCCTTAAACATAGAATAAACACAGAATGAACACAGAATAAGTACAGAATAAGAATAAACACAGAAAAATGCACAGAATAAACACAGAATAACACAGAATAAACACAAAATAAAGACATAATAAACAAAGAATAAACAGAGAATCAACGCTTACTTACTTGTTTGGTTTGGGTGGAGGTGGACACGTGGAAGAAATGGTCACCGATGTCTGTAGTGTAGTTTGTAGACGCTTCATGATACAGTCGAATCTGTCTAATACGTGGATGGGATCGCCGATTGGGCCGATCGCCCGACTCGATCGTCTTAAAAAATAAACATGTTTGTTTTCAATTTCAGGCGTTATCGAGTGGGGCGATCTGCTCGATTCAGCCGTAGTGGGCACCCCGTATAAGACGTCCATCAATATTGTCGAGGACAAAGGTGACCACCTTATACGGGGTGCCCATTAGGGGATCGGGTCTAGTCGGGTCGGGTCGGGGGCGATCGCATGTGCCACGATAGCCGCTTTGCGCCCTCAATCCGACTAGCAAACCGCCCCGACCAGAACCGATCACCCAATGGGCACCCCGTATTAGACAGATGTACATCTGGCACAGCGCCATTACTAAGTCCAGAAGAAGGCATGGGGAGGAGGAAAATGAGAAGGGACTGCATGTATGTACATGTGATTGTGTTATACAAGTGGCCTTTTAGGGAAGGCTCCACTGTTGCCCTATTATCTGTTCCTTCAGAAATAATGTTTTATTCAGCGGAAATTAGAAACGGTTACTTCGGGAAATTACGTCAGGTACTGTATACAGTAGATTTGTTCTCACGG